ATAGACATGTTTTCACTTGTGTGTGTTTCTTTTGCTGTTTGTTTAAAGGTTTTGTGTGTGTTACATTTGGGAAGGTCTGTCTGTCTGTCTGCCTGTCTGTCTGTCTGTCTGTCTGTCTGTCTGTCTGTCTGTCTCTGCCTCTCTCTCTCTCTCTCTCTCTCTCTCTCTCTCTCTCTCTCTCTCTGTCGTTCCATTTACCTGTCTGATTGCATCAATATCTCCCCCTTTTCTCTCTGTATTTATCTAGGAAATACATATTTACGTAGCACATAGAGACAAATATGTACAAATATGTACACACACTCATGCTAAATTGGAACATTTGAAAGTTCTTCTCATAAGTCAGCTGTAACTCCAGCCTTGTACCATGGAGTGTTCCATAGAGTGTACCCTCCACGGTACACTTCAACACCACACACACACACACACACACACACACACACACACACACACACACACACACACACACACACACTATTCAAGTGTAGATATGATAGAGCCCAGTAGGCTTAGGAACCTTTACACCTCTTGATTGACGGTTGAGAGGCGAGACCAAAGAGCCAGAGCTCAACCCCCCCCCCCGCAAACACAACTAGGTGAGTACACACACATATGAAGGTATTAACAGGTTATGAACCGGTTTTGGGTTCATTACAAGTTAACTCAAGCCTCCTCTCCACATACTGTCTAAGACGATTGACAGAACTAGCTTTCGGTAGACAGATTATAGACGGTAGTTCAACATGGCAGCACACACACATACTGATATTCATTTCTCAGCAATGTGCAAAACTTGGATAATTAAATGCAAGAATTATCATCAGTCAACATCATTGCATCACTGGGGATTTTAGTTTTTTCTCTGTGAGTGCAATTGCATCCTGTGGTTTCCACCTAGCAATGTTTGACAGCTTTAACTTACGCCAATCACAGCTTAGGGAAAGCTTACTGGTGATCTTGGGGGAGGGGGAGGGGGAGGGGGAGGGGGAGGGAGGGCATTATCAAGGGAAAGCGCCAAGCCATTACGACTATATAGCACTGGGAAGGGGTCAGGATAAGGATTTGGGATGGGACGGAGGGAAAGGAATGGTGCCCAACCAATTGTGGACGGTCGGGGGGATTGAACGCCGACCTGCATGACTCAAGACCGTCGCTCTACCGTCCAGCCCAAGTGGTTGGGCCAAGTGGTTGGGCCTCGAAGAGGGGAATAAGACAAAGCCCATGTGGTGTGAATAATGAATCTTTCATGTGCTTGCCAACATAGGGCCAACATGGGGCCAACATAGGGCCAACATGGGGCCAACATAGGGCCAACATGGGGCCAGCATAGGACCAACATGGGGCCAACATAGGGCCAACATAGGGCCAACATGGGGCCAGCATAGGACCAACATGGGGCCAACATGGGGCCAACATAGGGCCAACATAGGGCCAACATGGGGCCAACATAGGGCCAACATGGGGCCAACATAGGGCCAACATGGGGCCAGCATAGGACCAACATGGGGCCAACATAGGACCAACACAGTTGTTATGTGCCTCTCTCTTGTGCAAACTTGGGGCCAGATTCACGAAGCAGTTACGCAAACACTTACGAACCTGTCCATCTTTTCTCAATCTTTGGCGGCTTTGTTTACAATTATTAAACAGTTAATGAGCTCGGAAGCACCAGGAGGCTGTTTATAACAATAACAACAGTTGATTGGCAAGTTTTCATGCTTGTAAACTGTTTAATAAATGTAACCAAAGCCGTCAAAGATTGAGGAAAGATGTACACGTTCGTAAGTGCTTGCGTAACTGCCTCGTGAATCTGGCCCCAGGTTCGTAAGTACTTGTGTAACTGCTTCGTGAATCTGGCCCTTGGACTACGTCAACAATATATCGCAAATAATAAACAAACCATATTCAATGGAAGCTATACAGCATCTTGCAGACCATAGACGATACATTGCATGCAACATTCTATAGACAGATCAACCAACAATCGACTTGAGAATGGTCCAGGACGGACCGAAACGTCGTCGTCGTCCCTTCACATTCTAGTGTGTGGTCTGGTCATCAGCCCCATCTATCCTCAACACACACACATCAGGTCTGACACATCAATGTGGCTTCAAGACCCGCGCGAACACTTAGCATAATCTTGAAAGATATTTTTAGTGCCCTTAACAGCACCTCTGCTGGTAGCACAGCAGGAGAATGCACTCTCAGGCTGACAGGTGTATTGATTAATACATGACACCTGTCTCTCACGAAGCACCTGAGAGGGGGAACCAATTAGCCAGGAACAGGTGTCTTGGCGGATTAGGACAGGTGGATGAGAAGGAACCTGTCACCCGTTTTCTAAGATCTCTGTCTTCATACTGTCTCTTGAGAGTATACGATCCGTCCTCACATACACACACCCCCACACCCCACACCATACACCCCCAACACACCCCACACCCCACACCATACACCCCCACACCATACACCCCCACACCCCACACCATACACCCCACACCATACACCCCCACATCCCACACCATACACCCCCACACACCCCACACCATACACCCCCACACACCCCACACCATACACCCCCACACCCCACACCATACACCCCCACACACCCCACACCATACACCCCCACACCCCACACCATACACCCCCACACACCCCACACCATACACCCTATACGTATACAAAAAGCTGTTTATCTTGTCCAGATATAACAGAATGAGATAATATTATTAAGGTGTTAGCAGGGTCGACTAGCCTTCACTACCACACTCTCCCACACACACACACTCCCACTATCCCACACTGTAATGTGGGATATCTATCTCTATCTATCTATAATCTATCTCTGTAATCTAGTAATCTCAGACCCCCCAAAAAAAAATTTGTCCCCTATTTAGCATATATTTCTCTATGTTCACTACAGATCTTTTGAGGGGATTAAACACCTGCATTAGATCCGATACATATGTACACACACTCACATATTTCATGTTAGCTGCTCCACAGCATCTCAATCGGACACAATGAATTCTTTAGTTAACTTTATGATACTCTCTTGGATAATTTTAGAGGATTAACGTTTTAAACAACTTTTTAATCAAAATATGTCGGCAAAAATAGTTATGAAATATTTTCTAATATACTTAGATTTACAGTTTACGCTTCAAGCGTCTTGCATGAAATGTAAATTGTAAATTATTTACGTAAATATTAATTATTTACACGCTAATAATGACAAAGAAGGAATTTTGTTTTCAGATCAAAAAGTTCATCTCTTTGAAAGTTCAGTGTTTTCTGTGGCGTTCACAAGTACTTAGTTGTGCTTGCGGGGGTTGAGCTCTGGCTCTTTGGTCCCGCCTCTCAACTGTCAATCCCCAAGTGTTCTAAGCCAGAGATATCAAGCCCAATGACGAGCCAAAACCTGATGTTACATTTGTTCAAAATATGATGTTACATTTGTTCAAAATGTGATGTTATTCTACGTTTTCTATTCTAGCCCATGAAAAGTAATCCTTATTCGGAGGTCCAGGTCGGAGTTCGATACTCCTGGCCCATTACAGCCACTCTTTCCCCTCACTAGTCGACCCCTCACTGGTCGACCCCTCACTGGTCGACCCCTCACTGGTCCTTCCTTCTTGGCAATGCAAAATATATTGACAATTTCGACAAACATCTCCCCAAAAAAACACCTGATCAACCAGGCTGTGATTGATGTGTCAGGCTGCGAGCAGCCTCGTCCAACAGCCTGGTTGACCAGTCACTGTCCTCCAAGACACCTTATTACCTGGTACCGCAGGTTCCTGATACTTAGGATAGGGTTTGCAGTTGCTTCTAATTGCAATTGAGGCTAATGACTGAACTACAGCACGAGTGCCACTCAAGTTTACACCATTAAGTTCAAGACCAAGCAGAGATTTCTCGATGCTAATTGCAGAAATAAAAGTTCTGAAGACATTTGAACTTCCAAACAAGGCCATTTTTCCCTATCACTGATGAACTGTCGCTCTGAAAACTCTGAAAAACTTTCTCTGGATTCTCTGAAAACTCTGAAAAACTTTCTCTGGATTCTCTGAAAACTCTGAAAAACTTTCTCTGGATTCTCTGAAAACTCTGAAAAACTTTTTCTGGATTCTCTGAAAACTCTGAAAAACTTTCTCTGGATTCTCTGAAAACTCTGAAAAACTTTCTCTGGATTCTCTGAAAACTCTGAAAAACTTTCTCTGGATTCTCTGAAAACTCTGAAAAACTTTCTCTGGATTCTCTGAAAACTTTCCACATACAACAAAAGTGAGTGAATGTACACAATATATTTGCAGCCTGCCCAATCGTTCCTTATAGGTGCTGAAGTGGATGAGAGAGGCCGTATATACACAAGTGGAT